ACGTGATCAGAACTTGGCTTTTGTCGAGTTGATGTGGGGCGAGTGGAACGTGGTTTACTGAGACGTGATGCAGGGAGAATGCAAAATAGGAAAATAATGCTTTGTTACACACTTTCCCCCCTTTTTCTGAAATGATGCATTTGTTTTCTTTTGTGGATTTCATCTTGACCGACTGTTTAATGTGTAATGTGACAACCTTGTTAAAGCCCCCTCCCCATGAGATGAATTGAAAATGAAAGATTTGCTTAAGAAAATGCATTTTGAAAAAACAAACAAATGTTTTCTTTTTTGCATGTTTGGCTGCCCCTTATGTTTTGTGTCACTGGGCCAATCTTAATCTGTTAATCGTAAAAAAGAAAGAAAGGAGATGTCCCCCCCCCCCCTCACGTACGCACAAACTATTGAGACGGCTCATATGCATGAACATTGAACATGTGCAAGTTTGATATCATTATTGGTTTAGAGGTTGGCTAAGTATAACGTCAGATTATGAAGAACATACAATGTAGCCTAATTTGATTTGGAAATGATATGAGAGTGTGTGAGAGAGAGTGTGTTGGCCTCCCACGTCTGACTGAAGCACAGCAGCTTTGAAAAGGGAAAGAAAAACTTGCTCATGTAGCTCTGGATGTGTAGTTATTGTTTCTGATTCTGATCATTTATCCTTGTGTGGATCACCCCAAAAGATAATCAGTATTAGTTTTTAATGACTTAATTACCTCTTCAGCAGAACAAAACAAATCCTTTCAATTCATCACATTAGCAGATAACTAATGTTTACTCTAATCGTGTAATTAGAATTTTGTACACAAGGGGGCGTTAAGCTTCTTTAATAATTCATCATATTGAAAAAATGACTAAATGAAAGGGGAGAAAAATCCCCTGTAACAGGTTTGCTGAGCCTTTTTGCATTTTGCAGTGTTATGAGAACTTGGATATGCTTTGTACAGAATTTTTACAGCTGTGTGAAAAACAGACGAGAAAAACAAGGCGAAATGAGCAGAGCTTTACCATGTGGACACGTTTGAATACTGGATTTACATACCCATAATGCCTCCTGGCTACGTGGATAAAACTTGTAAAAAAATCCTTGGTGACCTTTGAACTATTCTGCTTTGTAGTTGGGTGTGTAATTTTCAGCAGGTAATTATTCTATGCCAGTGTGGGACAAGAGGGATGTCTGCATTGATCACACAGATTCCTGCTTACTAAGAATAGGGACGCCATGTTTTAAATGTATACACATCCTGCTATAGATGGAAAAAAAGATTCATGGCTTTGCTAAAAAGAACCCTCTTTCCCCTTGATGCTGTTCTGAAACACAGCGTCTGTGTTTGACCATTGCATACTACGTTGCCAATACTACAGTGTGATGAGACTTTTGTTCTTGCATGAATCGAGACACTGTTCTCCTACCTCATGTTGTGATATAAAAATATGTTTTTTAAGCAGAAGACACTGCATCTGTTTATCATCATTGATATTTACTAGTAAATTACATAACTGTACATGCTTTTAGCTAATACCTCAGTTGTATCTAGTGTTTTTTTTTCTGTTTTTGCCCTTCCCTGATTTCAGATCTTGTAAATATTCCCTGTATAGACAATGAACTTGGATCAAATTCAAGTAAAGTTCTGTAGTGTCAAACCAGTTGTCTTTTGTATTTTTGATGCACATCATGTCCTCCTCCTCCTCCTCACTTCCTTATTGACTAAAGATTCACACATTTGCACAAAATTCACATTGAAAGCCATCAGCAAGCTTCTGATGCGGTTTTAACTTCAGTAGTTTTGTCAGGGTTCTTACGGTCATTAAAAACCTGCAAAAGTCATGGAAATTCAAAATGCTAATTCCAGGCCCTGGAAAAGTTATGGAAAACAATATTTTTCCCAAAGTTTTGGAAAAGTCATGGAAATCTAACTAAAGTTGCATCAAATATAATGTACCGCTGAGAAAGAGTAATTTTTTTGGTCATGGAAAATGTGGTAAAGGTCATGGAAAAGTCATTGAAAGTCATTGGTAAAAAAGTGTATGAACCCTGTTTTGTACATATCGTCTCTACAGCTGATAATGAAGATTTAAAGTCAACAACAGTATGGACACAATAGAGTGGCGAAGTCACGCCCATCTACTTCCGGTCCATGGGACCTTATTTCGGAAAAATAATAGGCTTTGTCTTTGAATGTCTATGAATTTAACTTCTGTTAGACAGCTATCATACTGAATACATATTTACTGTGAATGTATGCAAAAATGTATGGCATATAGCTGTCTAACAGAAGTTAAATCCATTTCTCACTTATTCTGACAATGTACTTAAACCCAAATAAAAGAACCCAATAAAAAGAGTTGTTAAATAATAGTGAAGTCACGTTGTAATAACAATAACTCATCTCTCGAGTTTTATTTTTGAGTTTTGCCAAAAGCCACTGTGTCAAGTGTCCTTCTTGAGTTGCCGTCCGGAGTTCTCCAATATGGCGGACCATCTCGCACATGCGCAGTACAGATCAGGCAGGGTACCCCTCCGTGACGGAGTGAACTCCGCCTGTAGCCACACCATTGTGGGCCACACTCGCAGCTCAACGAGGCTCCCTCCTGTCAGATGGAGGGAGTAAATACAACAGCAAGCTTTGGGACGGCCTCCCCTCTCTCCGGCAGAAACAGGAAATGCCGTAACTGTATGTAACAACGGTTTCAAATCAGCATCTCTTAGAAAAAAAGTTTAAATTAATAACTCAAATAAAACTCCAAACATCTTTCATTGTGTTTCAAAGCTCTTTTAGTTTTAAACCTGATGTTTATAAGCTTCTTAGTTTTTGCAACGGTCTGTAAATATACACAACTTTATAATAAAATGCACACATTTACCTTTTTCTAGACTAAACACAGGTATGATCCTAAGTTAAAAACATATGAGGTTATCATGAGGTTGATAACATCGTAGTTTATCAGTGGATGTTTGCTGGAACTACTTTTTAACAGCTTGTTTCCCGACGGACACACACAGCGTGACTCCAGTCAGGTAGAGACCGGTCTCAAGTCAGCATCGCTGCCGACTCGCTGTTTGAGGGCTTGATAGCCCACTCCCCCTCCACACCGCTCCACACTCGTTGCTTTGGAACAGCCTTTGTTAGGCGCGTTCACACCGCAGTACTTTTCCCACTTTAGTTCCGATATAGTTCTGAAATGTTGCGTTCACACCAAAAAGAGGCGGAACTAAAATTAGTTCATGAGAACCTTTTCACCCCCTTTTCCGTCCCTGCTAGAGAGCAGGGACTTTCGTGGGAGAAAAAGGTTCATTGTCTGATTGGCTGGGCGGATTACAAACCACGCCCCGTAAAACTCCCAAAAAGTGTTGTGAAGCCGCCATTTTATTATCCTCGCATTAGCATTATTAGCATTAGCATTAGCCCAGCGCATAAACGCAGAGAGACTAACTTATGGCAACACAAAATAAAACATGGGAGCGGTGGAGATGAGGAGGTGTCTGTGTTCTGGCGATTTACTCAGAAGGCTTCAGTAGAAGATGCTGGGGGTCCCAGCAGCTTCTACTGAAGCCAGTCCTCAACTCCGAGGACTTCCGGCCGGGGACTTTGGGCGGCAGTATACGCCGTGAAGTGGTTTGCGGCCTGCCAGTAAACCCAAAGCAGAAGAAGAAGAAGTGACGTCAGCGGCTTAATTTTCCTAATCCTCCCCCAGGGACTTATTCCGGTGTGAATGCGATCTGTACTTAGTTCACGAGAACTAAAGAGTTCTCGTGAACTAAGTTCTCATGAACCTTTGTGGGAAAAGTACTGCGGTGTGAATGCGCCTAATATGGCGGACCCTCCGCGTGAACGCGCAAACGGAGGTGTAGGTTGTAGGGGGCGGTTTGGGAATGGGCCTGTCACTACCCGATCTGCAGCTCTGCCCGAGCACTGCATCGTCCAATTAGTGAGCGATACACAGTAAGGGGGCGGGGCGAGTATCTGTGGATTTCATCGGAGGATGGTCTGGTGATTCCTCGATTATCGCTCCTCAATCCTCGATCCTCGGTCCTCCGGCAGAAATAAGCGCCATGGGACGGTACTCAAGATGGCGCAGACAAATCAACTTCCGGTGATACGGAGGACCGAGGAGCGAGGAAATGAAAATAATCGACCTGAGAAGGACCCAAGGTCCCATGGAGCTCCCCCGGAAGGGGAGGGACTTCGCCACTCTATAAAGCCAGTGAGTGGCACTCAAGTTAAAAAAGAAAAAATCCCTTTCTCTTAAAATAATAATGAACTGAAAGAGCTCAATTAACTTAATCAGTCTTTGATCAACAGAAAACTAATTTCTTACTTCAAACAAATAACATCTTCTGGTTTCAGCCTCACTGTTTTTGTGTTATATGAAAGTACATTTATATTTTGACTCCATGATCAATACGTTTATGATCATTTGGCAGAGGAATCAATAATTACAACAATATTTGTATATCTGATCAGTTCTGGAAGAAGTATGCAAATATAAAAAGTAGCAAAATCAAAGTGTAGAAATACATTTAATAATTAGTAATAATAATAATACAAATTAGAATATACTTGGTATATATTACAGCATACTTTGGGATTATAAATAGTGATGCATTCATGTGTTCATCACTTTAATGTGGCAGCTAGTGAAGGTGGGCCTGTTTTGAAAATCATCTCTTGATGCAATCACAACAGACTCAGCCAAATTGGGTCAGGGGCTTCTTCCTCACACTTCTCCTGCTGGCGCCCTCGCTCGGACCACACCCATATTTAAACTCAACCGTCTAATTTTAACATCTGCAAAGTTGCATGACTACATCTTGCACAATAGCGAAATTGGAGTGACAAAATGTGTCAACTGACAATATAAAGAGTTCCTCAAATCCTCCTCTGCCTCATACCATCTTGGTATTGGATGAGCCAAAGTACTGGTCTGACCAAAAAGGTCCAGATTGAGGTTTCAAGAGTTTAGTCCACATCTTCCAACACAAGACCTGTTTGTGTTTACCTGTGTGGTCGTGCGCTGTCCTCCGAAGGCGGGCTAAATGTAAATCTCCACTCACAGAAGCTGTCGGTGGGCACGACCCCCCCGCCCTGCCCCAGCTGCGAGGCTGGACACACTGCACATAAAACCACTGCTATCAGGAGGCTGTTGAGGAAGCAGAGCCAGGCGCTGTTCAGGCCCAGGTACGCAGGTATCCCCACAGGCAGCAGGAGGAGCACGGCCAGGATCACCAGGAGCAGAGCCCATGTGTTCAGAAATATATGCAGGGTCTGGAGAACAAAATTTATTCTGGAGTGAGCTCTACTTTGGTCTGTAATTTGATCTTTTAAAGGAGGATGTTTTAATGTCAGGCGTCCAGCATGCAACGCTGCACAGCCCAAGATCAGGAGGAGAGATGTAGCAATGTGCAGGATCTGAGAGGTGTGAAAGACCCAGCACTGGTGGATCTGGATGTGAAACACTTCCTCCATGATGGGCCTGAAGTCAGACAGCAGGAAGACGTAGAGAGCAGAGAGGATCCACAGCAGGCCGCTCCCAAAGAGGCTCAACCTGCTGGAGGCCTGCCACCTCCGAGTGACGCAGAAGAAATGGTCCAAACCGGCCACGATCACGACAGGCCACTGCAGAGCGCTGTACACTTCTCCGAGGATCTGGACCAGCAGACACACATGGTACCGGGTCAGATTTAAGCCCAGGAGGTGTCCCTCAGCCTGGAGGTGCAGGGCGGTGACGGAGAGGGTCAGGAGGGTGTCGACGACAGCCAGGGACACACTGAAAACTCCCAGGAAGCTTCGGCAGATGTGTTTCCTCTGGAAGAACACCAGCGCCCAGTTGAGAACACATTTTCCTCCCAGGCCCCGCAGGATGGAGGCGATGGGGATGTTCATTGTGTTTTCAAGGAGGCTCTGCTGCTGCAGGGGGGAAACTGAATTTAAATGTATTACTTAAAAAAAGCCTTACAACCTTACTTTCAAACCTTAAAGAATCCAGTAGGATTTTAATTAATTTTTTAATTGGGATTTTACTAAATGATATTGTTATAGGACAAAATTAATTAATTTAACAAACACATTCAAGGCAAAATATATCAGAAGAAAAGGTAAAGAAAAATGAGAAGCATCAATTCAAAGGATATATTTAACAGATGACTAATATGTACATAGTTGTCACATCTAACCGGCATCATTATGTTGTATAAATATATGAACTTAATTTCTTATTTCTTACGGTTATTTTTAGCTCAGCTTACAATGAGCACTGCCTTGTTTCTACAGTAGCCCAGAGAGGACAAACCCAACACTGAATAATAAAGCCTTTTGATTTGTGCCGTTATCTGAAGCCCACGTACACATGCTTGTAAGGGAGGGGTGTGCAAAGTGTATTCAGTTGGTTGTAAAAACCTTTTCACTCCTAATCCGCTTTTTACTTTTGTTGTTCAAGGTTAGTTTATTTGTATAGCACATTTTAAGACACAGAGGCCATTCAAAGTGCTTCACATAAGCCGCTTTCACACCAAGTACTTTGCCGTACTTAGTGCCGGCACTTAGTACCCCATGGAACTAAGTACAGATCGCGTTCACACCGGAATAAATTCCCTGAGGGAAGATTACGCAAATGGCCGTTTACATCACTTCGTCTTCTTCTGCTTTGGGTTTACTGGCAGGCCGCAAACAACTTCACGGCGTATAAAGCCACCCGAAGTCCCCGGAGTTGGGGACTGGCTTCGACTGAAGCCTTCCGAGTAAATCGCCAGAACGCCGACACCTCCATGTTTTTTTGTGTGTTGCCATAAATTATTCTCTCTCCGTTGGTGCGCGGGGCTAATGCTAATAATGCTAATGCCAGCAAATACAATGGCGGCTTCACAAAACTTTTCAGAGTTTTACGGGGCGTGGTTTGCAATTCGCCCAGCCAATAGAAATGGGTACTTTTTTCTCCCCAGGATAGTACCACCTCTCTAGTAGGCACTAAACATGGGGGTAAAAGTTCCCGACACTAAGTACTCTTTTTGGTGTGAACGCAAAATAAGGGGTACTAACGGAACTAAACGGGAAAAGTACGGGGAAAAGTACTCCGGTGTGAACGCGCCTATAATAATAATACAAATAAAAAAACAAAAAAAGACAGTTCATAAATGCGCTGAAATACTGGCTGTAGCTAAAAGTCCAATGATAAGGCACGTTTAATAAGCCCCAAGCCAGTTTTTCAGGTTTCAGGCTCGAAAATGACATTCCCAGAACAAATGACTATCTTCACTTCTAAAAGGGATCAATTAATCATCTTTTTTCTCAAAGCAATGATAAACCTGTGAGTTGGATGTAGAAAGTCAGAATCAATATAGAATTTTTTTTATTTTAAAGTAAATTCAGATTGAACATATTACACATTTTTTAAATTATAGTGTCCGTCCAAAACAAAAACATTACTTATAGTGAAAACTACCCTTGAATGATGGGATAGTAGACTAAAAGCTTTAGGAATACAAACTATAACATATAATAAGTACCCTGTATCAAGATTGATGCAAAACAAGTGATATTTGACCTTTTTAGAGAGGTTTAGCAAAAAGAAACCCACCTTTGGGGTCATTTGGGTGGATTTGCCGTTTCTCTGGAACCCATTGGTCGATTTTGGTGATTGACATCTCTTTTGAACCGTTAGAGCCAATAGAATGAGTTCCTAATCTAAATATTACCATTGAGGAGTGAGAGTGATGTGCATGCAGTTTGCCAAAGCTATTACGCTCTGAAAACTGAAATTGCCATAAATATGATGATTGATTATCAGTAATCATTTCAAAGTGACACAGACACATTGGATTAACCTTTGGATTAACCTTCAACAGCGTTGTTATCGTTTTAATGCCATTGAACACAACTTTTGATCAGAACAACAGTAAGACTATTTGCCGTTTTGGCTCGGTAAAGCTACGTTGTGTGATGTCTGGGTTTGCTTCCCCTGCTGCGATCGCACAGTGATGATACTTATACCTCTAGAATCTGTGGAATCTCAGCTTTAATCTGATATCTTGTTTGTGCAGATCCGATAAGTAATAAAGTATTTCTACCGTGAGTTCTGTGCTAAGTGTGTAAGCATTTTTTAGCTCAGGGCTAATTCAGAGGCTCGGCGTTAGACTTGTGTTTTGTTTAGCTAAAAATGGTTCATATCGTCAGTTAGCTGAGTTTCTTCCCGTTAAGTAGATATGACACATTCATAGTTTGTTAAATGTTAAGAAGCCCTCAGACGCTGTTTCTTGCAAGATGTTGCGTTTTGCCCCCGGTCCCGGGGGCATGGGGCTTAACTGAGGATCTCAGGATGGGCTGCATTAAAAAGAAAGGTTTTTAACCATGTTATTTTTCTTCTTTACTTGCTTTTAAAGCGCTTTGTGCACCAGGAAAAGCGCTATATCATTATTTGTATTATTATTGTAATCTGCAACTTGATTGCTCTATGTCACAAAATCCTGCAAACTGCTCCTTTAAATAAATTGAAAACTTCTATCAAATATAAATTTAAATCACTAACAAAAAGACTGAGTGAAATGCACCCTTTAAACAACAACAAAAACATTTTATTTTGTTCTGCTCAGACCTTATTTAAACGTTTTCTCTGTCTGCATGGAGTCATCCCATGGTAACAGGCTTTATTTCCTTTTTTAAACTGGCGACTCACAGTTTCTGCAAAAGATGAACTGAGTATTCGTTTCAGGAGTTTTTCAGGAGCTAAACGAGGTCATCTTTTTTGGACCCCAACCCATAGGCTCTCCGGTTGATATTCTGGGCTCTCTCAATAAAAACATCCTCCCCTCGGTCATGAACCTTGGAGTGACCTTCAATAGCGCTTTTACATTTGATAAGCAGGTGAGCACTAGTCAAAACCCGCTTTTTAAAAAAATAAGATTTTAAACTCTTTTTATTTGTTTTTAAAGCACTAAATGGGCTGGCTCCGGCATATATAGCCGAACTCCTCCATCGCTACACCCCAGCCAGAGCTTTAAGGTCGGCTGACCAGCTGCTGCTGATAGTGCCCAAGACCAGGCTCAAAACCCGAGGTCACCGAGCCTTCGCAGCAGCAGGCCCCAGGCTCTGGAACACTCTGCCCCTCCATGTGAGGTCGGCCCAGACCCTAGGTTTTTTTTAATCCATGCACGCTAAAGACTCACTTCTTCTCTCTGGCCTTCTAGTCAGAGTGGAGTATGACTCCTGACATTTCCCTGTGTTTTGTTTTTATTTGCTGTTGTAGTAAAGTGTTTTTACTACATGTACAGCACTTTGGCTCGAGCAAAAATCGTTTTTAAATGTGCTATATAAATAAAACCTGATTTCATTTGAACCTTCAGGGTCATTCATGACAACTTTTCACTTCTACTTTTCCAAACTGTCAGTCAATCTGCAACCGCCAGCAAAACCATAGAGTGCAAAACCACAGATAAGAAGCTATCAAAGCGGAAGTAACACTGGTAAATAATTAACTGATTGTATGCTCACACATTAAAGTCCCACCTTTAGAGGATATCAGAAACTAGGAACATTACTGTCTTTCTGTTTCAGTATGGATGATTTATTTCTTGGGCGATCTGAAGTGGTGAAGTTTGCATTTTCTAATATTAAAGTTCAACATCTGTATTTGATACACACAGTGCTTACGTTTGACTGTTTTTAGGCCAAAAGATACTACATATGTTTGGCTTACAAAAATCTCACCTCAATAAGGTGTTCTGGAGCTTTCACAATCACAACATTCGTCAATAGATGTATTGCACCACACCTCTGTTAGAGCAGATAGAGCAGCTTGCGCTAATAAGGAAGTTGGCATGACAAAAATATTGAGACCATTAACAAATCTGATAAAAAAAATAAAATACATGTTAATGTAATTCTGCTCACTATTGGACTTTTCTTTAATTAAGACATTGCACATATATGCACCAGAAGTCTCAGTAATCAAGCTTTACATTTCAATATTTCTCTCAGTTTGACAGGAGACTTTTGCAGCACAATAATCCCAAAACAAAGATAGTTACCTTTGGATGTATTACCTATGTGATACTGGTCATCAGATGTTACATGCAGCACTGTTTCTCCATCTCTGTTCCCTTTGAGAGGTAATCAAATATCCAGCTTCAATAATGCAGCTGTACGTAGAAGGCGTGGTGAAAGAGAGGGAAGCCGGTTTGGCACACAGGTCTGGACAAAGCTGCAGTTTGTTTTTCATTGTTCTTGAAGATGTTTGGCATTGAGGTTAACTGTAGTGTTGGTTCAAGGTGTGGTTCATGTTATTCAAATCCTTAGGCTTTGAGGCCCCAAAGAGTACAGTACATTATGAAAAATGTAGGATATAAGGCAGGGCCGCCCCTCCCTACAGGCCAATCACGCAGGCTGCATGGGGCCCCGCCTTGCGCAGGGGGCCCCGCCCAGAGGGCCTCAGCTGCTGTGTGCAGTTCTCCGCTCAGTTCTCCGCGCACCCCCGGCTGACACGCGAGAGTGAGAGGTGACAAGGGGATCACGTCTGTAACCCGACACCGTTGCAATGAATCGACATCTGACCAATCACGGCTTTGATACGGCCACTAGTGTAGGTGAAGAGAAGTCGGTGAAAAGACAGTTTCAGTCCGGCGCAAGCTAGAGGGAAAAAAAACAAAACTTGAAGAAACTAGAGCATCACTCGAAGGTGGGTTATTGTCAAATGTACAACTTGCGAATGTTGTATAAGTCAAATTGCCAAGTGCCATATCACATCAGCTGCAATTCACGACATGAAGAAGGCAGTCTCTGCAAAGCATATAGGCTAATGGAGATGCAGTTATTTCCAGCATTCTTTATTTACCATTCATTCAAGTATGTTATGCCTTTTATCTGCTAATATACAGGAGGAAGAGTGATACACT